TATCCTTCTACATAACAAATGTAATCAGTGAGCCAAAGTTAAATATCCCCAACCTCTGCCCTTGTAATCAATCACAAATCACTAGTGAAAAGAGCAGGTTCAAGTGGAAGAATTGGCTCCAGGAGGCCAGCTCTGTGCATCTGTGCTCCTAGGCTCTGCACAGAGGTGGACCTTAAACCCCCAGCCAGGGGAATGCAATCAGGTCACTTCCAATGATGGCCTGTCTACAGTGGAACTAGTCTTGGAGGAGACTGCAGGTGAATGTTGATTTCAGAAAAATAAAGCCTGATTTCAAATGATTGGGAAGAAGTGGGATTAGAGGTCTCTGAAGATGCCAGCGGTGGAAGGGCTCCCCTGTGCCCATCAGGGGCCACCTCCTGTGGGGAGGGCCTCAGGTTTCAGACAGATCCACCTGGTTCAAATTCTGCCTCTGCTACTTACCAGATGTGGGGTCTTGGATGAGTATTTGACCTGGCCTGAGCCTCAGTTTCCTCATCTGTGAAATGGGCACTTACATCGCAGTCCTGGAAAGAGCTCACATAAGGATAGACGAAGTGCTTAACAAAACGTGAAGCCTGGAACCTGGATCTGTTCCTTGCCTTGAAGAGCAGTTAAGAATCCAGGCCAAACCTCCTCATTGCCTTTGGATTTAAAGCTTTTCTTTAATTGCCTAGATATTTGAACCTTCCAATGCTTTGGGAAATAACAAAAACTAAAACTAGAGAAATTCCCTGGGATCTGTCTCAGTTACAGTGACTCTGGTGTGGTCTGTGTACTTGGCTGGCCGAGACACAGTTCGCATCTCTCCTCTTTGCTGCGTTCACTGGTGGTGAGTAGGGGGTTCTCTTCTAAGCTTCTGCTCTTTGCCCCCTCCCTTCTCTCGCTTCTTCTATCTTTCCCCAGCCCTTTTTGCCCTTTTCTGCCTTTGCTTGTGCTGGTTGCTTCTCCACTGTGCCCTGTCCTCTTCACCTACTGCCATCCTTCAGGGCCTGGAGTCCTCCGCCATCGTGGAGCTGTTCCAGAGAGGGACTCATCGAATGCAAGCAGGGGCTCTGATGCTGCATCAGCAGAAAGACGTGTGGGTGATCTCATGACCTTCATGGAGATGAACTTGAGCTTGCACGTGTGCATATGTGGGTGAATACGTGTTTAAAATGGTTCTATTTTAAATGGACGAGGCAGAGTTGTCAGTGTGCTTGCCAAGCACCTGCAGGGGACTCTTTGGGGAGCTTGAAACCGTGCTGATTCCTAGGACCCGCCCTTGACCTCAGAAGCAGAATAACGGTAGGGAAGTACCAGGAATCTGTGTTTTTAATAGTTCCTCCTGCTTATCTAAAGAGAGAGAGAGAATTGACTTGTTTCAGGCATTAGGATCTTATTCAATCCTTGCTAACCCCTATAAAATAGCGGTTCTAACGTCTTCATTTTAGATGAGGAAATGGAGGCTCAGAGAGGGGTAGTAAGTGCTACATAGTCACACAGCCTGTGAGTGGTGGGGGTCGTGTTTGAACCAAGAGCCAACACTGAAGTCCCCACTCAAGCCACTTTGCAATGCTGTCCATTTGTGAGCCGGGATTTTCACTGGACAGGAATTTTTCTTATTATTTTCCATTATTTATTTATTTATTATTATCATTTTTTTTACATTCTAAGATGTGGAGCTGTGGGAAGGGGTGGGGAGGGGAAAGGAGGTGGGGT